GGCATCAATGTGGCAAATGGGGTTCAATGTGGCCAAGTGCAAACTGATGCACAGTGGGGCCAAAAATCCTAACTATAAATACACGTTGATGGGGTTTGAACAGGCAGAGACTGACCAAGACAGAGATCTAGGAGTCATAGTAGATAACTCACTGAAAATGTCAAGACAGTGTGTGACTGCAATAAAAAAGGCCAACACTATGCTGGGGATTATTAGGAAGGGAATTGAAAACAAATCAGCCAGTATCATAATGCCCCTGTATAAATCGATGGTGCGACCTCATTTGGAATACTGTATACAGTTTTGGTTACCACACCTCAAAAAGGATATTATAACATTGAAAAAAGTGCGCAAAGGGGCAACTAGAATGATAAAAGGGCTGGAGCACTTTCCCTATGAAAAAAGATTAAAGCCCTTGGGGCTCTTTAGCTTGGAGAAATGACAACTGAGGGGTGACATGATTGAGATTGACAAGATTATGCATTGGGATAGAGCAGGTAGAGAAAGAAGTACTTTTCTCCCTTTTTCACAATACAAGAACCCGTGGGCACTCAATGAAATTGCTAAGCAGTCGGGTTAGAACAGATAAAAGGAAGTACTTCTTCACCCAAAGAGTGATTAACACATGGAATTCACTGCCACAGGAGGTGGTGGCGTCTACAAGCACGGATGGCTTCAAGAGGGAATTAGATAAACATATGGAGCAGAGGTCCATCAGTAGCTATTAGCCACAATGTACAGATAGGAATTCTTGCTTTGGGACAAGTGATACATTGTATTCTTGATGCTTGGGGGGGCAACAGTGGGAGGGCCTCTAGTGTCCTGGCCCCACTGCTGGACCTCCTGATGGTACCTGGTATTTTTGGCCACTGTGTGACAGAGTGGATGGGCCATTGGTCTGATCCAGCATTGGCTTCTCTTATGTTCTTATACACATAATCATCAGTTGATGACTGGAGCATGGAAAGATGGCTTGTGTATGGCCTGAAGGCTGGTCACACAGCAAGTGTCCTGAATCCAAGCAGGATTGTGTCTGGTTGGAGCTTGGATTAGAGACTTCCTGAAAAGTCTGTGTATGTTGCCTTCAGTTTCATGATGAAATATAAATAATTTCAGGTCTGCTGTGGAAGAGCAAGATTCGAGTCTAGTAGCACGTTAAAGACCAACAAGATTTCCAGAGCATAAGCATTTGAGAGACTAAAGATATAAATAAGTAGTCATCATAGATTAAACACCACAGAATCATCATATCATTTTACATTATATCTAACTTAGTGAGGACAGTTTACACATTCATGTTGAGGGCAATTTTATTGATTTATTGAAAGTATTTCTGTCCTGCTGTTTCATCCTAATATGAATCACCAGGGCTGGTCACAATACACTATGTGAACAAACAAGTATTATAATATATATATATATCAAACAACAATATATTTTCAAAAAGAACACCCACCCAGCTAAAAGGTAAAAGAAAATGCAGTAAGTCCAAAGACAATAAAAGACCAGTGCCAATAAAAACACAATTATAATTACAAGTAGCCAGTGTTAGCATAAGCAGATCATAAGTGAAAGGTCAAAGAGGATTGTTGCCAGCTTGTAACTAAAGACCAAAAGAACTGAGGGCCAGACAGACTGCTCTTGAAAGAGCATTCCTGAATTGTTGAGTGATAAGCCCCTGAAAAATGAGATGTTGTGTACTCTGAAGCACTACAGAAGACATCAGAAGATTCCATGCTTAGAATTCTCCCTATCACACCAAGGGGAAAGCTAGGTTAGGATTGTCCTCCTTGACACCTGTCTCTATGTACAGAGTAGTGTTTAGTCCTCTGTGCAGTTTAGAATGACAAAATCAAGATGTAAGGGTGCCACCACCTCTGCATTTCCTTATCCATGTATGCACGAGTCATTGTCTCATGGCAACAAACAACTAAGAGATCCAAATTGCTTTCATGAAAATTTGGCTCAAGCTTCCTAATACGGAAACAGAATTTCCTAAGGCAGACACCAAAACATCAGCGAGCCCAGACCCATACAGAGCAGAACTGTTCAGGAGGATCCATTTTGTTTAAACTTTCTTCAAAACGCATATTGTGCTCACTAAAACTTTCCATAATTTCTTGTTTTCCCAACTTCTTTCAGACTGCAAAATGCTACAGAATGATTTGCTGTCTTTGAGGGTCAATAAATGAATTGTATATGAAACACTGAACATGACAGTAAAACTGAAGAGATTTGGCTTTCTGAGAGCACTGACGTCATAAGAGGCTGTAATTCTGCCATAATACTGAGGGAACATTGTCTGTTTAAATGAAGAAGGGCCAAAAGCTAGAGAATTTGAAATGAGAAATGCAGACCGTCTAGATAACCATATTTATTTACCATGCTAGATAGTTAAGATGGGAGTTCGTTTTTAAGTAACCAGTTGGATAGATTTACACTTTCCCCTCAAAATAGCAACATAAGAATACCATATTTTGGGGGGAAGACTAAATAGATCTTAAAAGCATGACTCTGCTGTACTACCTAGTCCCGTCTGGTTTCCATTGTTAGCAGGGGTCATTTCATAGAAAAAGAGCTAGGGGAACTCATTAGCATAACTCATTAGCATATGCCACACCCCCTGACATCAGGGGCCTGGCGGTGGACCTGCAAGGCCAGCGGGAGTGCGAGGAAGCCCCGCCAAGGCCCTCCCTGGCCCCAGGCAGGCAAGGATGGGGAGAGGCGGGGAGGAAGCAACTTACCCTCCCTCTTCTCCTGCCTCCTCCTGGCTGAATGAGGGCTGGAAGCGGGGCGGCCGGAAGCAGGGGGCGGGGCTTCATCATGTGCCCCGCCCCCTGCACCTTACCCGGGGGAACTGTGTTCCCCCGCGTTCCCCCCCGAAATGACCTCTGATAGTTAGTATATAAAACAATGCAATGCCTCTCCTGTCCCTGCACTTGCTTTATAGTGTAGGAGGATGGTACAGTATATTTTCTGTAGACAGACGTAGCCACCAAGTGTGTTTTTTTTTTAATTTAATATTTCTAGGAAGTATTATTGCTTTGATCCAACAGCAGCCATCAATAAATGTACATCAGAGATACGCTCTCTTTCTTAGAAGGTGGTTCCCACTGGAAAGCATTTAAATGCTTCAGTTTGGTTTTAGGCACTTTAAATATTTAACCAGTTTCCTCTTTGCTGTGTGTAACAGCTGTGAATGCTGACCTATCATTTCTGTTGCTTTCCATCCAACCATTTTTGCAAAGGTGAGTCAGTATTTTGCCACAGGACCAATTGAGTTCAGTTAGTTGAGGTATCTGTGGTTATATCAAATCAAACATCTGTTGCTCTGTACTCAGATTAGCCATCATTAATAATATCCCTACCTCATGGCAGTTCTAATGGGGTTTTGAACAGAGGTTATATGACATAGTAGGATAAGTAGTGAGCTGAAATTACTGTGTAGCGTTAGATGGATTTTCATTGGCTAAGACTCATTTAACCTTCGTAAGCTTAAAAATAAGTGAATGTTGGTAGTTCCAAGAGTAACAGACTTGGGTTTCAAACCCATCAGATGTTTTAAGAGGGTGGCTTCTGATGCCAGTCCATGTTGTTCTATGAAACCATCATGGCCTAGAATAAGGAGGATGTATTTAAATCTGGGGTAGACTCAGTGTGATTACCAGAACTGCAGTCATAGTTCTTCCAATGGATGTGAGGGCGAATTCCACCCCAACCAAATATACCAGCTCATGTCTTATTTGCACTCTGCACTAACATGCTACAGAAAAGATTCCAGCACACCACTATGTGTGGAAGTGATTGAGGTGATCCTTACAGAGAAAACTGCAGTGGTGGACATGGAAATTTTAAGGATCCTTTGATCAATTGCTTCAGAGATGCCTAGTCAGGAAGATTGGGCATAGTTCTATTTTCCACATAGAGATTGTGAGAACAGGAATTCCTATGGAGGAACGGAAAACAGAGGAATTCAGATTCCTAGAGAAGAGAGCATAGTAGTCGTCATGGTTCTTGTGTGTGAATCTTTTTGTAGGATCCATGGCATCTGGTTTTCTTTGCCAAGCTTTTGTCTGTGTATTAGGATAATTTGGCCGCCATCCAGGGATTTTCCAGTGCTGGGAATCTTCTGAAAGTCTTGTTGTGCTTCAACACTATCTGCTTCCTCCCCTCTCCTTGTGCTGCATTTCTGGGGTGAATATGGCCCTGCAGCACCTGGGAACATTAGTGTTCTGATGTTATGTGTGACATCAGTCGGGGATCCACAATCTGACTCATGTCACACATGTTACCTGATTGAGCCCTGAGAATCTGCTGGGTCTCAGGGTGTTTTGGCAGTCTGCACAGATGGCCACTGCTGCAGTACAAGACACAACACTTAGTGCCTTAAGCATGTCTGTTCTCCCCTACCTACCTGCATCACTATATCGATTGCATTTTTTACCCTGCATTTCCTCCCAGGAGTTCAGGGTAGCACAGGCAGGGGTGCCCTCCCCCCTCCTTTTAATCTTCACCACTACTTTGTGCAGCAGATAATATGGCAGCCGGCAACTGGCCCAGAATCACACAGTGAGCTGAGCAGCGGTTTGAACCTGGGTCCCTCCAGTCTTAAGGGCCTTGCACCAGCCATTGTAGCACGCTGGTTGCCTGTGGAAAGGAAATGTTTGCTGTATGTGTTTAAGCTGTAGCTATAATGAGCACAACCAGCTTGTCTGTGAGATTAAACTTCCTGTAATTTTAACTGTAAGAAACCATGGTGGTCAGTTTACTAACATCTCTTTGAAGAATTCATTGCAAGGCAGGCAATTGCAGACAAGATCAATACCGCACACAGATCAGAATCTTTTTCAGTATCAAGGAGGAGCCTGTCACACAGTCGTCCTCAGAGCAAGCGTACAGGAAGCATATAAATATATGTTATCTGTTTTCAGTCTGAAATAGTGGAGGGCAGGCAAATGTCACCTATTATTACCATCTTTTTCTCTCTCAAGGCTGCTGTGTCTTTAATATGCAGAAGTCTAGCAATTTCCCATCACCACATCTGCATATCAGTAAAAGTTTCAACAGCTTTATTTATTCTTGATCTACATTAAGCCGGGGGAAGTTGCCAGAGCTAATTTTCTGCAAGTGAGCCTATGATCTGCCCCAAAGGGCTGCATTATCGTCAAATGGAGACACATCGATGGGTAGCCTTAAGTCACTTCTATGAGGACTAGCTTTCAGGAAGCTTCCTGGACATGGATTCAGAAATCACACAGTTATGGGTATTCTGTTGCATTGCGTCTGGGCTATGTTTTACATGCCCTTTAAATTATGATAGAAGGCTATTATATCTTGCCTCTAAAAGGGAATGTTCATTTAATGTAGGAGGGAAAATCTGTAATACGGAACAATTTCAAAAATTTTGCATGGCTTCTACAGATATGCTATCCTTGTTTTTATTTATTCATTCCACAGATTCCAGAAACAAAGCAGCAATCAGGCACCAAAGCTGAGTCTCCAGAGGGGTACTATGAAGAAGCGGAGCCCTATGGTATCTCTACAAATGGTACAGAATTATTACCTGCATGTTACACAGAATTTAATTACTTGGACAAACACTGATGTCTCTGAAAATATGGTTTTAATTACTGGAACAAACCCTCTCAAACACACAGTTGCCAATGTCATACAAATGCTTCTTGCATTCTCAGTTAAAAGTGAAAGTATCTAGATTGTATCAGTGGTATCCAGTATTCCCTCTAAGCTGAGGGAAAAATTCACAGTTTTTTTAGCCACTGGCTCACGCATCTCTGTCTTAGCTCAGAAAGGATGGCTCCAGAGCAAATGAATTTATCCAGTAGCCAAATCGCTCGCTCACAACTTTAATGCCAGTAGCTCACAAAGTAGAATTTTTGCTCACAAGACTCCGCAGCTTAGAGGGAGTATTGGTGGTATCATTGATAAATTGGTAGATGCAAAGTTCTGTCAAAGCTGAATGTAACATTACTCAAACATCCTATATGTACTATAAGGAGCCTTTGGCCTTGCTTTGCAGTTCAGGATCCTGTGCAGAGGAGGAAGTGCATTAGATTCCTTCTCTCAGTTCCTTCCTTTATAACACCATGCACCACCTTCTGTCCTATTCATTACCTTTTCTTGCATAGTAACATCCAGCACATTTGAATGGAAGCCTATAGGCTCATTTGTTTTTGAGGTGGCAGCACCATGCACATGGGGACTTTGCCAGCTCATTATAAAGTGGGAGGCATTTGTGTGAAACAGTCCTATGAACAACTCCAAAGGAGAAAATGCTTGAAAAGTGGTGTTTTCTCTTGACTTGGTAACTTCCAGGGCAACAGGTTGGCTGCTGTGTGAGACAGGATGCAGGACTAGATGGTGGACCACTGGTCTGATCCAGCAGGGTCTCTTTATGCTCTTATGTTCTGAGTGTTTCATAAGGGGCTGTTTCATGTAAATGTCTCCTCCCCATGTGATGAAAAAAAATCTCAGTGAAGATAACTGTATCTCTCAAAAGATGTGTGGATCAGGCTCAGCTGCAATGACATCACCTGCAAGAGAGTATGGAGCACATGTGTGACCACCAGCTCCTTGTTCCCCCTTTGAAAAGCAGGATTAGATGCAACAGCTGTATCAAAGGAGTGTCTGTTGTTCCACTCTAGCCTCTAGTAGATCTACATTGCTTTCTGACATGTGCCTGCCTGCTGATGGAGGCAGTCTGTGGCATGCTATGGAACAGGCCAGGCAGCTCCTTACAGTGCAGTCCTCATCAGAGTTACACCCTTCTATGTTTATTGAAACCACTGGGCTTAGAAGGGTGTAACTCTGTTTAGGATTGCATGGGTAGAAGTCTGGGTGTTTGCCAGGGAAACAATACATTATTTTTGGTTCTGCCACACACTTGGAAAAATATATAGCTGCTCAAGCATGTAGAAACATGTAGAAAACTCACTGGGGATTGCTGTTTAACCAAACTATCACTGGGATCAAAAGATAAAATTTGCCACATTGCTCCTAATATTCTAATTACTAGCCGATTTTTCCCAGCAACAGCTTTACTGCTTGGCCAGCTGAATACAGACATTTGTAAATCCTCAGCAGGGTGTGTCTAAGACATCCCGTCTCCCCAGTTTATTCTCTGTATTAAAATGTATTTGGATGTTCAGTGACTTTACTAAATTAGCTTTTAAACGATCTATGTGTTACTTGATGATATGCTGTAATGGGCATATGTCTTTATCCATCATTACGTGATTCAAGTGGACATCTAATACCTTTGATAAGCAAAGATGTGAGATGATATTTGTAGGCTGCAATCCTATGTGTACTTACTTGGGAGTAAATACCATTGAAATTAGTGGGTCTTACTTGAGAGAAAACATGGAGAGAAGGAGACTACATGTTTAGTGAAGACTGCACCAAAAACCTATTGCCACACTTCATGGCATACTGTTCTGTGTGCCCAGAGCTCCTCATCTGCTTCAGAGTCATGGGATAGTAGTGGGTCAACCAAGAGAAGGAAAAGTTTGTTTTGGCCCTTTCTGCATGTTCCTTTTAATCCATGTTCACCACGGTGTCCTCAAAGCAATTCTGCACTAAAATCGAATCCAACCTTCTTTTATTCTGGGGTTCTTTTTCCATTCTGCACTAAAATCGAATTCAGCCTTCTTTTTATTCTCTCCCCCCCCCCCCCCCCACGTTCTGCATTATGCTATCTCCCTTCAGTGGTTGGCCCAATTTCAGCCCGCTGTTGCCCTGGGTTTTTTTGGATGCTGTTTTGCCGCAGACTTCAGTCACCTCAACTCAAAAACTGAGATAATCTGGAGTGGCAGGCAAATGTGGAAAGGACTTTAGTCTTCCTTCTTCTTTCCCCCGCTTCTTTAATCTCCCTCTTCTTGTGCCTCAGACACACCTCATCTGAGGTGCTTGGTGTATAATTCCCAAGACTCATGACATTTACATTTATCCTTTTATACCAGACACCTCAGATGCTTTCTTTCTCAGTTAAGGAAAGGGGAGAAAAGAAGAGACTGGGAGAATCTTTACTTCTCTTAGCTGGGCCTGTGACCTGTAATTTGTTCCACTACTTTGACTCTGCAGTAGATGAAGATGGAGAATTTTAGGAGAAATGTGTGTCCTTATATATTTCCTTTGCTTTGAAAGTGAGTATGACAAAGCTCATATAAAAGATAATGAACTTTGGTGGCATCTGTAATCACCCTGTATTCTGGCCCTGTATGAGCAGAACCGAATGGTATCGCAAGAAACATGAAGGACCTGAGTGGTACTGAATATTGAATAATAGTTGTTCAGATTGAATTTACACCTTCCGATGCTGTTTATCATGACTGGGTCACAGAGGCTGCTAGAATGTTTTAGCTGACTGAGTGTTCTTCTCATCCTTGTATATTTTGCTGTAAGTTCCTACTCCTCTGCTAGAAAAATATAGTTCATGGTTTAATAATTAGTGAAGCTGCTTTGTGGTTCATTTGTAGGTCTGTTTCTTTCTCTTTTTGTTCTTCATGTGTGATTATGCAGGTCTTTACGGTAGGCTTTCACCTACTGGATCCAGTACAGGTTTGCAGGTTACTGAGGGAGTAATATATGCCACAATAACCATGGGTATGGCATGCTTTCATAACCTATCACTCATGCATTGCTTTTCAGTCTTCTGTCATTTGACCAAAGACAATCGCTTCATCCCCTGCAAGATATATAGCAATTGATTATCCCCCCACCCCCAATATCATTTTGTCACCCTAAATGTGTATACAGTATATAGAGGAGAAGTGATAGAGAATCAGCATTTCACTGCTTTTTGCAATTTCTTAGCCAAGTACAAAAAAAAAAAAAGATATGGGTGTCACTAGCTGGTCATACCTATGGAAACAACAGGGGAAGGCTTAGTTCAAAATCCTTCCAAGGGAGTCTTTTTCACTGAGCACTGGAGAGGAATATTAGTGGCCAGTTATTCATGTTTAGCGATAAGCAGTATGCTAGAAAATTAGAAGGTAATGAGGAACATTAATTTAGGCTGCCGCTGAGTCTTTGCAAAACCAACACAAGATGCTGGAACAGTTTAGGAAAACCCAAGCAAGAGATGCTGGGACTATGAGTCTGCCAGGAGCATGCCTTTCACCTGCTACAGAGATCCCAAAGCCTCATAGAGCATCAATCTGGAGGGGGAATCGTGGTGTCACGGCCTCCACCGAAACTTTTTTTTATTAGGATTTTGTTGAAACTTTATACTCTTTATTTTGCGAGCATCCTGCAGGTCTAGGACATACTCTTTTTCTTATGGGAGCTGCTTTTCCTCTGCCTACTTTTATGAAGCGCTCAGGACAGCTCAGTAGCAAAGCAGTTAGGCAATCTACCTTAAATTAGTGGTCAGGGAGCCCCACACCACCACAGGCCCAAATTCTGTATCTAAGGTCAAAGATAACATGGAACCAGTTCAGCTAAAGTCAGGCACACCTAACATAAATAAATTCCTTTTAATCAGTCTTAGGCTACAGAACTAACATACTTAACCTGGGGTTAAACACCCATCTATAAAGTGGCCTTTCTGAGTATGTATGCATAAGATTGCACTGTCAGTCAGAACTAATTTTAGCAGGATTGTGGCTACCAAATTCGGGAGGAGCACATTACAAAACAAATGCAAAGGACCATAGCTTTGTATACCACTAAATAATCTCTGAGTACCTTTCACGGGAGTAAACAATCCTGGATGGAGTCGTTTAGAAGAGTCCCCTTGGATTTATTTCATTAGCCACAGTGTGGCTCTGTCAAAGGCTGTTGATGGAATCTGTACACAGGGAGACAGGGAGAAGTAGGGACCTTAGGGTACAAGGTACCAGGTAGCTCTAAAGATACTGTCCCGAGAAGAATGTCCACAGTTCTAATGGTTGCCTGTACCAATACAAGCAACAAATCTAGACATCACAGGTGACAATGGCTTAGAGTTTCTGTTGGCAGAAAAACGTGGAGACCAAGCCTCAAGGTGGGGCCTTGAGTTCTCCTGGAATTACATCTGATTTCCACATTACAGAGATCAATTCCTCTGGAGGGCATGGCAGCTTTGGAAGGAATCTATGCCACTGCATATCCATGGAGCTTCCTCTCCTCCCCAGACTCTGCCCTCTCCCGAATCTCCAGGAATTTCCCAAGCAAGTTGGCAACCTTGCCCCTCAGTCACATCTGCAAGCTTCTTGTGGATCCCAGCATTTTTTTAAAATGCTTCATCCGCTAACATTCTCCTAAGGTTAACAACCTGTTGATTCATTTTTTAAAAAGACTGTCCCCATGTTTTGTAAACAGATTACAATGAGATCTTAATACTTTGCGAGGAAGGGAAACAAACCTTTAGTTAGTAAACCAGGAGTCTCCCACTGTGCTTGCCTGGGCTTGAAAGGTTCTGCATAGTTTAGGTAGTTGTTGCATTATCACTGGTCTGTGCAGTCCCCAGACTCCTTCATGCCGCCAGTTCAAACAACCCCCTCCTCCCTCTTCAATTCTCGATCTGCCACCCCCACACCAATACCTAGATGCTACAGTGGGGAAGACCCAGCAGCTTATCCAGAAGAAGAGCAGAAAAAGGATTGCTTAAGACCGATGTTCTCTTAGTTGATTCATGGTTTACCAGTTATCATCTTTGAAATTTGACACTCAGGGAACAGAGCCTGTTTCATGAGTAGCTTTTGGCAGATAACAACTTGCACTCCCTCTGCAGGTTTTTGCTTTTCTAGCCGAGTATCTAAAACCTATACAAAACATTTGATAGCATCTCAGGAATGTGTTCAAAGCAAGAAACTAAGCAGGGTGTGTCTACAGAATGGAAGTCTTTGATGGTCCTATTCAAAACAACAGTTTGGATAAGAAGCCAATGAGCTCAGGTCTGTTCCTGGAGATGAAACAAGCAGATAGCTCCCAAAATTAACAAACATGAACTACACAATTACTGCATCTTGTAGGTCGGCAGTTTCTCTTTTCAAGATTTGCTGGTAATTTGAAGACATTTCCAGCTTACAAACCTGGACCTTTTAAGGGTCTTTGTTGTATGAGAATGTTGTTAATTTGGGGCACTTTAGTTGCCGAGAAGCAAATGCATAAATTTACTTCACAGAAGAAGAGTTTGTTTTAATACCTCCCATTTCTTTACCCTAAGGATCAAAGCCTCCCCTACCTTGTGAGGTAGTTATGGTTGAGAGAGTTCTGAGAGAACTGTGACTGGCCCAAGGTCACCAGCCGGCTTTATGTGGAGGAGTGGGGGAATCAAACCTGGTGCTGCAGATTAGAGTTTGCTGCTCGTGCTGGCTGAATTATCCACCGATCATCCAATTTATTTTATTTTACTTTTGCTGTCAAATCGCAGCACATTTATGACAATACCATAGGCTTTTCTGATTGCAGTCAGTGTTCACGTTCAAAACTTTGCCGTGGGGCCTTTTGTGTTGTACCAGCGCAGCATCACTGTTGTATGAAAGAACCCTTAATGTGGTTTTGTGGCCATATCCAGTGAACTGAAGTGCCAAGAATATCAACTGACTTCACAGGGTATACTGGACCCAGTGAGCACTGAGGCAAAAGGAGGAAAAAATTTCTTTCTCTGTCACGGGCACTTTACTGGCCCCTGGATGCCACAAGCACCCTCATATGCAACATCTGCCATCTGCCCTGTGCAGGGCTTTTTCAGGAAGGTGTGGGTAGGGATGTACAAAGCTAGGAATAAGGTGAAGGCCCCTTCCATGATGCAAGCCGCACTGTTTGTGCTGTGATGGCTCAGGCTGATTGCAAGGACCAGGCCGCTTGGCCACAGTGCTTGGACAACTTGAAGGCATGTAAAGCAGATGAGGCATGAGCAAGTGTTGCTGTCATTTGGGATATGTCTGTACCAGCACTTCCTGTCGTGTTTCTGTCTCTTAAGTTAGCCTTGCTATTAATTTCTGTCTGTACGTGTGCTCGCACAAGCTTTATGGACCTTTTGTTCTTGGGAGCATGGGTTCATTTTCTATTAAAACATCATTAAAAACATTGGGTATGTTCTGCACAAATCGGTCTCTTCACTCCTTTTAATAGCAAATGTGGTTGTGGAATGCCTGTCAATAGGGCACTGAAATGGGGATAGCCACATACAAGGGAGCGGTTCCTGAATATTCAGGGAATACCTCAAATACGCAGAAGCATCTTAATTCATAAATTTAAAAAATTACCTCCCCCACCCCACCCCACGAGGTGCACATGCTCTAACCCTGATTCCTTTCTTCCATCATTCGAGGATACTGTGAGCTTTTAAGAGCTCTAATCACTTTGAACCTGGAATAATTCGGGGAGGGGGCGGTGTTAGTTAAAGCTTATTAATTTTTCATTAATCCCAAATACTTCCAGGAATTATACTGCTATAGGGTAGAGACCCTATCAGTTTGTAGTATGCTGGAATGGGGGTGATGTTAAGGTTGGGGGATACAAGCAGTGAGAGATTAGTTCCCCATTCCCAATATTTCCTCCCACAACTCTTCCACTCAGTATGGGGAGGGAGAACTAAAAATAGCTCCACCAAATCCTGCATTGTTCTGGTCAGATGTGGAATTAAAAATTCAGCTTTGTGCTCGTCATTGCTGTCACCAGGAAGTGGGTTGTCCCCCCCCCCTTGGTTGCAGATGATGGAGAAGGGAAGGAAACTAGAGCACTGTGCTGTGGGCCCGAGCCCTCATGGCATTTGTTAAATCACCTTAAAATGGCGGCAACATCTTTGTGGCAACAATGAGAAGGCCCTTGTGACTAGTTTGGCCTTATTGAGAGGCAGGACATGGGATGACTCTAAACTGCATGAGTTGTTGTCAATGATACAGTGTCCAAAAATAAATGGGTGCAATATCCTGCGGATGGCTTTGCTCTTTTGTTAGCTTCCATTTTTAAAAAACTTGCTTGTTATGTTTTTATCTTTCCAAATGTGAAAACAAAACAATGAGTTCAATAGAACCCAGGCATTTTGCTTTCAGTCATGATGACCCTCACCCCGAAAATAGATATATAATAACAATATTGACCCCCTGTGTTGCTGTGAGAGTTTCTTTATCGCTGCTGAACTTGGTTTTAATGAATTAAAAACAGTACTGCAAACAAAATATGCAGAATATAAAATTACTTATCTACATTTGCACAGTTTTTGTCAAGTGCTAAAAGCGAAAGTCAAAAGCTGTTCCCCTTTCAAGAAAAATGACCCTTCTCATCAGCTTCACTTATTTGAATAAGTACATAAAAACATAACATTCAATATGATCATTTGTAGTCTGTGTTTGGCTTGTGCATGCTGATGAAAGTCACGTGAGCAACACAAGATAAGTAAAGACGAGCAACCTTTATTGCACCAACTTTTAAGCCATCCTTGTCTTCTTGGCCTCACTGGTCATGCTTGCTGTCGTAATGTTCCCCAGCTTACCTAAGGGGGCACGGAAGAATCAAAGGCGCGTTGTTTTCTCCCCCATGACTGCAGATGATGGAGAAGTGGTCAGCAGCTCTTACGAATCCTATGATGAGGAAGAGAGCAGTAAGGGCAAGTCAGCTCCACACCAGTGGCCTTCCACCGAAGCTTCCATTGAGCTAATGAAAGATGCCCGGATCTGTGCTTTCCTGTGGCGAAAGAAATGGCTGGGGCAGTGGGCCAAGCAGCTATGCGTCATCAAGGACAGCAGGTTGTTGGTATGTTAGTGCTCAATGGGGTGGGGTAGTCTGAAACAAGGTATTTTCTCAAAGCCAAACTCTGACAGAATATTGACACTCTTCAAAATTCTATATATTAACATGACCAAGTAGTATTTAGGAGCGCTATAGAAAAGCTGTCGTGGCTAGAAATGTTTGCACTGATAATTTGGTCTTGTGCTTAGTGGTGTACCTAGCCTATTTGGTGCCAGGGGCGGATAAATTGTTAACACCCCCCCCTCTATTTTTGGGGAGGACATCAAATCACAGCTAACTTATGGGGGATGGGGAGGTTGGAAGCCCAGCAGAACCAGTGCATTGTACAGTGCCCAGCAAATCCAGTGCCATTGTGGCAATGCCAGCAGATGTCAAGCACAGAATCACCGTCCAAGTGTGTGTGTGTGTGTGTGGGTGGAAGCCCAGCAGAACCAGTGCCTTCTGTTCATAATATTAACAATGGTTTGCTACTATACTACTCTTAAATACATTCTGTTTCCAAGGGAGATAGGGATGAGAAGGTCTTGGGACCAAGAAGTGAAAATAAAAGGGGAGGGGTGGAAAATTAGGGATTAGATGAAGGGAGAAAGAAATGTATGAGAAACATGCAGAAAAGAGAGAGAGATTAGGAGAGGGAAAGGTGCTGCAGCAGCCTAACTACTGTTTTACAAGATCTGGCTGAGTTGGGTGCAGTGTTCCCTCTAAGCTGAGTTAGTGTGAGCTAGCTCACAGTTCTTTAGCCTCCAGCTCACACATTTTTGTCTTTGTTCAGGAAGGAGGGCTCCAGAGCAAACTAATTTATGCAGTAGCCAAATCGCTGACTCACAGCTTTAATGCCAGTAGCTCACAAAGTAGCATTTTTGCTCACAAGACTCCACAGGTTAGAGGGAGCATTGGTTGGGTGCAAAGAATGGAAGAGAGAAAGGCTAGACTATTGGAGAAATGACCTGCAGGCTGGCAATTACTGTAGCAGCTATCAGCTTGCTGGCTCAGTTGTTGTTAAGCAAGTTTGCTTCAGTCTTGGAGAAAAGGAAGTCTAGCCCATCCTACCATGCTTTTTCTTATGTTCAGACTTCTCTGTGCCCCTAGTGGCTGCAGCAAGAATTGCAGTTTATAAATAAAGATGTGAGGCTGGACTCTAGCTTCAAGGGCTCCCTTCAAGGGTCTTCCTCAAGCTGTGCCCAGGGCAGACCGCACCCTCACCCCATCCTTGGTACACCACTACGTGTGCTGCTACCTAGAGTCCTTCAGAATAGATAGGAATGTGCCACTGGGAGTGGTGGTTCACCCTGTTCCCACTGGATGTCTGAGCGTGTCTGTATAAATGAATAAAGATATGTATGGGTGTTGTGCATCTATAGGAAAGATGTGTGTTGGGGACCACGGATTTGCAGTGTCTAAGGACACATCTACCCATTCTCCCATAACTTCCAAACAGAGCTACCAACTGCTGTCACACAAATCGGATTTCTAGCCCCCAGGTCTTGGCAGGGGTTCCCCCGCTTTTGGGGAAGCCCTGCCCCCAAGAGTGACCACCCGCCCAGCCAGCCCTCTCTCTCCCCTCCTCCCAGATTTAAAAGGCTTCAGCTGATCAGCATGGACCACATGGCCTGCTGATCAGCTGGAGGGCCCTTTAAAGGGTCATGCTCGGCTCATGAAAAGCCCCTTTAAAGGGTCTTTTTGTGAGAAGGGGGGGCCGCAGCATGCAGGGCTGATTTCCCCAGCACCGCGGCCCCCACCCCACTTGCAAAAAGACCCTTTAAAGGGGCTTTTTGCAAGTGCAGCATTCGGCCCGTGGCCGCCCCTCTCCCTCCCTCCTAGATTTAAAAGATTCTCCAGCTGACCGGCACCCACGTGGTCCCCACCAATCAGCTAAAGCCCTTTAAATCTGGCAGGAGGGGAGGGAGAGGGGTGGTGGGGTGGGTGGTTGTTCTTAGGGGTGGGGCTTAAAGCATCCCTGCCCACCTCCGGAATGCCCCCCAAATCCCCCTGCCAGAGCGATGAGGGGATGTGGCAATCCTAGACACAAAATACCTTAAGAATTAAAAACATGATGGCAGGTCATCTGTTTTGAATGGTTGATCTCCATAAAGCTACCTTATTCCTTCTTCTCCAAGTGCTACAAGACGTCCAAGGACCACAGCCCCCAGCTGGATGTTAGTTTGGTGGCCTGCAGTGTCATCCACAAGGAGAAGAATGTGAGGAAGCAAGAGCACAAGCTGAAGATCATCCCAATGAATGCAGATGTCATTGTGCTGGGCTTGCAGAGTAAGGACCAAGCAGAACAGTGGCTCAGGGTGAGTGGGCTGGTCTCATGGACATCTATTACTGTCTGGGGTTTTTTGGCCTTTTTGTGTGTGTGCATGCCTGTGCCTGGAAGTCATAGCGACCTCTGGCAACTCCTACTGGGGCATGGAGGGTGTTCAGAGAAGTGGCTTGGTAGCCTGCCTCTGCCTCCCAACCCTGGTATTCTTTGGAGGTCTCCCATCCAAATACTTGCCAGGGTTGGCCCTGCTTAACTTCCAAGATCTGATGAGATTGGGCTTGCCTGGGCTATAGAGTTCAGGGCACTGTCTGTCACTATATTGAGGGCTTAGGGCTGCCAGGTCCCCGGGGTGGGGGGGCAGGGGTTTGCTTGCTCAAGGGCCCCCCGACCCGCTGGTCTGGATCTGGCCGGTGGGGTTAAGCCGACGTGCCTGGCATGATGATGTCGCCCGGAGGTGACATCATCACGGTGGGCACGTCACCAGTGGGACACTCTAGCATTCGGCCTGAAAACTCTTCCCCCCCGCCGCCACAATTGGTAAGAGACCTGGCAACTCAGAATTTGGTATCTGGCTCTGAATTTATTCTCCCGTTGTTCTAAAATTGTTAATATGAAGCACGTTTTTAGTCCATATGGTTATGGAGAGATACATGGGCTGTTCATGGTGAAACCTGAGAAGGCCAGAGAAGAACCAGGAATGAGCAAAGGGTGGAGCCGCTGTGCTGTGTTTAGTCCCCATCTCCCCCTTCACAGGGGCAGGCCTTGCAGGCAGGCCCATAGCCAGGATTTTTTTTAATTCAGGGGGCCTTTAAATAAGTTGGGGGGCACTGACATCACAAAAAAAAATTAAAAACTCAGGCTCGCCAGTTGGAGCACCTGTAACCACTTGGAGCCAAAGAGGCTGCTGAGTTCTCCACGTAAATACGAATGGAAGCTGTTCCCGAGTGCTTGGTCAGGCAAGACGGCTCTGAGCATGGCACCCTGGTGCTGGTTGGCCTGGTCCTGCAGGGGGGGAGGCAGAAGGGCCAGCAAGCCCCCGCAGGCGTGGTCCACTCTCAGCTTCTCCTGCTCCCTCGGTGGCAGAGCCTCGCCTTCCCTTTGCAGCCTCCTCCCTGGCCCGCTGGACTCCTGACGGGTCTTGCCACCACCGCACTTGTGGCCACCCTCGGTTGATGCCACTGGTGCTCCGTGGCCAGATAGGGCTGCTGACACTGCTGTTCCTCCTGCTGGTGGGCTGTGCTGCCCTGGTAAGTGCCCCCCCCGGCTGCTGTCTCCTCCCTCCCTCCCTCGACGGCTTCCAGCCTCCACAGGACTCTTGGAATCTGGGAAGGCAGTGGCTCATCCTCCGGGACCTGGGCATGGTCTTTGCCTTCAGATCGCACCGCTGTTGCCATGTGGCTGGAGAGAACATGCCAGAGCTGCTCCAGGGAAACTGGCCAGCTGCTTGGGAAAGGAGGAGCAGCGGCAGTGGAGGAGCAAGCCGTGCCGGAGGAAGGGGCAGTGGCGATGGCCCTGGGCTAGATGGAAGTCATGGGGCCTTGTCAGGAAGTGGGGGGGGGGGAGGCCCCGAAATGCCCCACTTTAGCTACGGACCTGCCTGCAGGAAATGTATTTTCTCTGATGTCTACTCTGAATACATTACTTTTCCTAGTTGCAAAGTAATGCAAGACGATGTGCTGAGAGTTGTCCCTCAGTCATCGTTTTTCATTCTCGGTGCTTTCTCTAAGCAGCACCATAAAAGCCTCTTCTTAACGCTCAGAAGGGGTTAGATCTTGGCTGCTAAGCAGGGTCAGCCCTGGTTAGTACTTGGACGGGAGACCACCAAGGAAGTATGAGGTTGCTACACTTCTGTATACAGCACCTCCTTCTGGTAAAGCCTTGTTTCATCTTCACTGGTCTTCTGTTTGTTGTTGTCCAGTCACATAGTCAAGTCCAACTCTTCATGACCCCATGAACCACATCATGCCAGGCCCTCTGGTCGTCCACCATCCTACGGAGTTTGCTCAATGTCTTCTGTGCTCACTTGAATTTTGTAACTGGTGCCAAAGCATGGCTGCAGTGTTTCTGATTTTAAATATGTGGGTTTTTAAAAGTAAGTTTAAAAAGTTAAAGTTTTTATAGCAACAGGCTTAGTGCTCACTCGAATTTTGTAACTAGTGCCAAAGCATGGCTGCAGTGTTTATGATTTTAAATATGTGGTTTTTTAAAGTAAGTTTAAAAAGTTAAAGTTTTTAGTAAGTGGTCTATGTTGCTGGAAAGATACTCCTAGACAGCAGTTGGAGTCCTGTGCTCGGAAACTGAAACAATGGAGTTCTCTGTGCAAAAACAGGATTTGAGTGGCTAAATCTCCCGGCCCACCAACTAGAGTTGCCAACGGCCCTGAGGAAAAAAATGTCCTGTCTCTTCAATAGAGGCTTAATGTGTGGATATGGATATTTGAAGCTTTTCATGGCATGGAGATAAATACCATATCCTAGGATAGCCCTGGGATAGTCATGTATGGCTGCGAGAGTTGGACTATAAGGAAGGCTGAGCGCCGAAGAATAGATTCTTTTGAACTATGGTGCTGGAGAAGACTCTTGAGAGTCCCTTGGACTGCCAGAAGATCAAATCACTCTATCTTAAAAGAAATCAACCCTGACTGTTCCCTGGAAGGCCAGATAATGAAACTGAAGCTCAAACACTTTGGCCACCAAATGAGAAGGGAGCACTCACTGGAGAAGACCCTGATGCTGGGAAAGATTGAAGGTCAAAGAAGACGGGGACGGCAAAGGATGAGATGGTTAGACAGTGTCATCGATGCAACGAACATGAAACTGAGCAAACTTCAGAGGACGGCAGAAGACAGGAGGGCCTGGCGGGATCTTGTCCATGGGGTCGCGAAGAGTCGGACTCGACTGTGCGACTGAACAACAACAAGGATAGCCCAGGATGGCCTGATCTCAGTCAGATCTTGGCTGCTAAGCAGGGTCAGCCCTGGTTAGTGCTTGGATGGGAGACCACCAAGGAAGGATGAGGTTGCAACACAGAGGCAGGCCATGGCAAACCACCTCTGAACATCTCTTGCCTTGAAAACTCTACAGGAGTCGCCATAAGTCAACTACAACTTGATAGGGAAAAAAGGTAAATAATGTCTTGTTTTCACAGGCAATTCCAGTCTGGATTTAGAGATGTGAAAAACTGCAGCCTCCCCTTTCCTGTTTGTTGGGATTACAGTGAGAAAATCGTTTCTGTCTACAAACTGAATGCTTTATTCAGGGTGTGTTGTTTACATGGTCATTCTGGGTCCTTGATCAACCAGGTCTTTCGGCAAGCACTCAGCTTCTTTGCAGGTCAATTTAAAAGAGGCTTTACAGGAATTGAGCTGCATGTCAGTTATCTGCAGTCCTTGCAGTGCAGAACAAACCCCCAAGTCTCTGCTTACAAGTTAACTCTTTGTTTTCCACACAGGTAATCCAAGAGACAAGCGGTCTGTACCCTGATGGGCTATGTGATGGGAACCAGTATATCCCAGATTCCCAGCGGCTTAGTTACCCCAAAGTATGTCTAATCTGTTAAGAGGTGATTTTGAAGGAGCACGGTTTCTCTTGCAATCTTTTGTTGCCTCACATTATTTTAATTTTTGAAAACCCATCTGGTTATACAAGGAAAGTAACTCCCAGGAAAACAGGAAAATGGTTGAAACTTGCATGGGAAGAGAACCCAACCCTTGTTTGTTGAAAGAAGTGCAACTGGAACACTGACAGGCTGCCTCTGCATTCTTTGTTATCAACACTTCTTGTGGAACGGCTTATTTTTTCAATAAGTTAGTTTGAAATTAAAATTTGGGCTTTTAGACAAAGCTGGCCAATGTAACCATTAAAATACCGATGAAAGATTTATATGAACAAGATTTTTGAAAGAGAAGCATTTTGGATATCCTTCTAGATGTAAGATTAAAAACACACTGTTAACAGGTGAAATGGAAACCTCTTTGTTGACAGATTTCTCCTTGGCTGATTCCTTAGTGTAGAACTGGAAGCTGGGGCGGGATTCTTGCATAGGCCTTATCCAAATAGTTAATTCTTAATCATTCAGATCAGAGATAGTAATAAGGAATACATAATTCCTCAAGTTAAATGGTTTTTAATCAAGACTGAAACTAAGATGATGAGTGATAAATTTATCTAGAGCCCACGTGGAAGTCTTTCTCCTGTGCCATCCATGGTTTTTGCCATCATACATCTAGAGACACACACCCCTCCATCCTCTCCTGAACTAGTCTTCGCAAATGTAAATGGGGCTTCCCTGTAGCATACGTTATGGAGATGAGTATTTCTGCCCATGCTTTGGCACTAGTGCAGCTTTGGTGCTGTGGATCTTATTCCTGCTTCCTGCCTGCAGGTGGAGTCATCTGAGAGATATTCCGTAACATCAGAAAGTGGAGGCAGCACTGAGGCTCATCCAGAACTGCAAGAAACGAAAGACGGTAACAATACACTCTCATGAATGCTGAGTTAGGCGAAGAGGGAAGGGGAATTAGGAAAAAGGCTGTCTGCAAATTGTATTTAACTCACAGTTTACTTAGATGGCACTGAGTCAGTTAGTGCTTCTGCAGTATGTTGACTTTCTTTTGCAATTATCTGAAACAACATATGGTGAAACTATATAGCAATATTATATTGTATGGATTTCTAACAAGGCTAATGAAATTAGTAATATGGGACGCTACGCTCATATAACATCTGGGTAGGCTAGTAAACAACGGGCTTTGAGCTCTGCCTGTGAGTTTAACTCCTCAAAACTATAGAATAATGTCTTCCTGGTTTCGTCAGTGGGAATTCGGCATTTTAGATCAATAGCCGCAGGCATTTGCTCTTTCACTCTCCTGCTAAACATGCCCCTTGAGTTCAGTAGGACTTGCGAGGAATGATTTTCAGGGATAGATCATTGGCCTGACTAAAAATATCACCCTGGAACTGGATCTGCTCCCCCAGCTCCTCCATACTTTTGATCGAGTTCGAGTGTGTGGTAAAACTCTAACCAGTTGTCAGGATTACAGATGACTGCTGGGTTGCATTTGCACTGTGGTAAATAGCTGCATGATAAACTGCCATTTATGTTTATTTAAAACATTTCTATGCCACCTTCCCCCCAAATAGGGTACCCAAAGCAGTGAACATCAAATGTTAAAACATTTCAACATTAAAAACTTTTCAAATTAAGTATATACAAGGAGCACACATAACACAAAGAACAGGAGGAGTAGGCCAATAGCATTTATTGAGGGTATGGCCAAACAGAACAAGAGACAGAGCAGCAGTCCTCCAGAACCACACCCTGAGCCTGCTTCGGCAGGGAGGGCGGGGTATAAATTGAATGAATGAATAAATAAATAAAACCTGCCTTTGAGATAGGACCAAAACCAACACAAAATGGTGCCTCCTAATCCCAACCTTGAGAGGCAGCCCAGAGGGATATCCCATGATTGATGGAACGAAAAGTCACTAAGAGGCCCAGGATGATTAACAGGCTCGCACTCCCCCTGTCCGTCTCCCAGTGCAGGTCATCCATCACGGCAACCAAGGCCATTTCAGTCCCATAACGAAGCTTGAGACCAGATTGGAATGGATCCCAACAACCTACTTCATCCAGTGATCCCTGAAGTTGCCCAGCCACCACTTGTTCAGACACCTTGCTCAAGAATGGTATATTTGAGACTTGATGGTAGTTAGATCTCCTGTGTCCAGAGTAGGCTTCTTTAGGAATGGGCTCACCACTGCAGAACGGGGCTCTTCCAGGCAGAAGTGGCCACTCCCTCTCTCAGGGAGGCGTGTTTACTGTCTCCCAGACCCATTCTGCCAGTCCCCTCCCCTCGCAGATTTAAGCAGCCAAGAGGGGCAAAGGTCGTACAAGCAGGTGGGTTTACCCTGCGAATGAAAGAAAAACATATTAAGCCATTAATCCACCTGAAGTTAGTGCTGGGGAAGAGCTGAAAGCTATCCGCATACCACATGGTTGCCCCTTAAAAGTGCTCTGTGGTACATCTAATGGCACTGCAGATCCAGGCATCTGAGGGCACCAGATAAGCGTAGGCATT